ATCATTCTTTTAAAACAAATATTTAAAATAAAACATTTAAATCAAACATTTATCTAATCAAACTCTAGAGGTCTGTTTGCTCTCTAGGTCAGAAAAGCTAAAGATCAAAAATGTGTAACTTATTTTGTTCTAGCTAGAATGAGTGATCTGGAGCAGAGACACCATGGAGCCTGCATTAGGAAGCTTCATTACACAACATGAATGTATAAAACAAATCCACAAACAGTTGAGTTTTCACCTGCAACCTTTTGTTTCCAGTCTTGCAACTGAATGCCTGGAATTTAGTCATACTTAATAATTTTATTCCCCACCCCCCCGCCTCCAATTTAGCTTTAAAACTGCCTGGCCTTTGAGGAAAGGTGAATAACAGAAAACTTGCAGCACTCTATATTAATCAAAGCAGAAAATTCAATCAGTATATATAAAATCCCCAAAGAATCTGTAACATGGATCATATGTTAAGAATGTCAGAGTTGGGGACTGTTTCCTGTAACCCCAAAAAAGTTTGTCTGGAGTATTTCAAAGCATCAGTTTTCAGGAAAAAATGTCCTATGACAAATACAAGCCAGTGTATCCTACACTGCCCACCAGGAATAAACAGACACGGGCAACCCCCTAAATTTTATAAACCACAAGCTCAAAGAAGTAACTTGCTTCTAAGCAGGAGTGGTAGCTGTAGTGGTCTAAGCCTGTATGAAAACTGTCTCTGGTTGTTGATACCTTGTGTTCAATAAACAGTAAGCTTTTTACATTCCTGTAAATATCACTACAGCTCAAAAATCAGTTATGTCACGATAAGAGTTTTGTAAAGGATGAAGCATGCTGCTCAAACTTCTCAGATCAAGAGACAGCATCAGCAACAGAAATAAGTACTGGTTTGCACGGGTAGACTCAATGAACTTGTACTGTTGTGCCCTGGGCAAACAAAGAGAAACTGCAAAAAGTAAAAAAATATCCAGAGGAAACTAAAGCAGGGCCTGAAATAGCTGAATGCTTTGGGGGGAATATCCAGTACAGAACCAGGGAGCCTGCACAGAAAAGTGAATTGCAGCACCGATCTAAAGCATTAAAGAGCAACAGTGTTAATAGAAGTCTATTGCCTGGAGACAGACCTGAACTGATCAAAAGATTTGTGAGAGATATATATGAGTGTATATCCTGCTTATCTACCAACACCTATAAAGATGAGACTGAATCATCTTCATCCAAACTCTTCTTAGGGAAAAGCAAGAGGACTGCTTTGGATCTGACCAATGTCATGGCTCTTCATTCTGGTTATTTCAGCCTTACTGTGGTTTAGAACAGAGGTCCCAGGATTCTGCCCTAAGCATCAAAACACTTTTGGTTTTGACATACTCTAAACTTCTAACCATCAAAAAAAAACCCACATGGGGAAAAGTTTACATGAGAAATCAATAAAAACCATTTAATTTCTCCTAACTACACTAAATATTTTTATGTGTATAAACAGAAAACAAGACTGAAAGAGGAATGTTGTGATCCAAATCAGAGCCTCAACTCAGAGAGACAGCTAGCTACATACGCATGTCATAGCAATGAGTTCACCCAGTTTCGGGAAATTTGTAATGCCCTTGAGCTAACATCTCCATGACTGTAAAATATGTAGAACATTAAATTATCAGAACATCCAATATACTAATGTAAAGGATGTTTACCCCTTCCCATGTTAGAAGTGTAAACATGACTGCATCTTACAATTATTGTTAATCTATGAGTCACAGAAGCACAAACATTCTATTTGTTCAGTATGAAAATCAGGTCCTTGGACGCATGTGGATCTCTAAATTGGGCATCTTTTGTTGCAGTGAGTATATCAAAGTATGTCATTGGGGAAAATAAACCGTTATAAGTTTTAATTTCCTTTTGTACTGCACAATCAACAGCAAAGGAAATGTGAACTGCTATTGATTTTTTTCAGCCTACAACAGCAAGAGGATCACTTGCTAATTTCTAATCAGTTCTGCTTAGTTAGGTAAATCAGCTCAAGGCAATGGAATATTTTACACGTGTCATTAGGTCATGACTTGCCCTGCAGGACAATTAGTGGTGACTTAAGACAATGTGGAAAACCACAGCTTGATTAGCTGAACAACGTCTGGAGTTCACAAGCAAAAGATACAGTTTCTTGCAAACTGAGCATACCTCACTGTTCGGAAAATGACAGAACTCCCCCCAATATGTTTTATAGTCTTGTCCACACAGAATTACACTTTTAAATATAGAGACTCATTCTTATGTGATTTGCACTAATGTTACAGAGATGTAACTACAACGTTTAGAGGAATCATTCTTACCAACTCTACAAGCAACTCATGTCTTTAAATGATTTTTTAAATATATCTATGTCTTAATGCAATCTAACTATACTGTTCACATTTTCTTCTTCCTGGTTTGCTAAGATCTGCTTAATATCCTTTTTGTTTCTAGGTAGTATCTAATCACTTCTGTTCATACACTGTATGACACTTCTCACACATTATAATAGCTGGTTGTGATGTGGATAGATTACTTATTCAAAATAACTTTGTTAATATTTCTTTAACAAAATCTAATTTGAGGTTAAATTTTTCTCACATAGCTTTAATATCCTCTTACATCCTATGCTGAGAATTAAAGTGAAATTCACCTTATATTTCAAGTTGAGACCAGTAAGGTATGGAAAATAGTTTTCTCCTTATATAGTGCGGAGCATACCTGTTGTTCATGCAATTACTTGCTGGCCAGAATCACTGTATTTAATAAACCTTAATTCTATTGTCTAAAAGCAAAAAAGGACAAACGTGCCACTCCACAGACCAGCTGTTTTATCAGCAACACAGATGAACAGCACCCAAGAGGCAATCCAGGAAAAGCCAGGTACACTAAAAAACATGTCTTAAGACATGACTCATTCTTTGGCAGCAGCTTCTCTTGCTGAATTCCCAGGAATTCCTCTGTATTTCAGAACTGACAAAAGGAAACAGTCATCTAAGGGCATTCCCGAGAACATATGGGATCAGTTTCTTACTCAAGACTTACGCAGGTCAAATTTCCCTTAAGTCAGTGGTGTTTTCCTCAGGGGAGTGATGGCTTTATCCAAAGAACGATTAATACCAAATTTTCAGTAATCAGATGCAATGCTTGATTTATACTGATAAAATATTACAAATATATTATGAAGTATTCTGTTTGATAGTTAACTAAATTCCCTGATGTTTGGTCTAAGGACATCACCACCCCATCTGCTGACATAGGATTTCTGAGTTTCCTTGCAGTTTGCTATTTGAACTGGCAGGAAACCAAACAGATTTCTCCATTACTAGGGCTTCATCATACGTTTCTACAAAATATTTTGACAGTCAGCAGAAGCAATCTTGCTCCACATTTTTCACTTAGCTCTGACTGTAGCACAATGATGCTGAAAATATAAAATGAAGTCTGTGTAGTTTTTTCACTTTTCCTACTAATGATATGAAAACTATAGAGTGTGGGTATTTTAAAGCAGGAACTTTACTTCCTTCACAGCAAACCCAGTGTCTTAAGGTTGCAGGGTATTGCTCTGTACAAGTAAAAAGCCAAAAATTGTATTCTTTCAACTCCCACACAGATTTTTGACTGTCCTTACTCATGGATCATTTACATATTTTATAAGATGAAATAGCAAATACACCACAGACCTTAGGCAAGTGTTTTACCCTCTTCTGTCACACAGTATCATCTATGCACATAAAATTCAGTTATATTTTTAGAAATAGCTAAGCTAACAGACCATTTTTACTCCTAAAGAACCCTTTCTAGAATAATTGAAGTGACAAAATAATGACTTTCGACCTTGAAAAAGCTGAACTGAATTGCAGGAAGATTCATGTTGGGAAGGACCTCAGGAGGTGTCTAGCCCAAACTCCTTCTCAAAGGGCTTTCAATGTTTGACTACCCTTACTGTGAAGTAGTTTTCCTGGTATTTGATTGTAACCACTTGTCTCCTTACACCGTCTTCGTGAAAGGCTGAAATGTTGCATTTCATATATGCCAGTACCACCAAGCTCCTGATCCATCACCAGTGGAACTGAGCGTCTCAACTCTGAAGTTCAGTATCTCCTCCTTTAACCACGTTCTGATCCCTGTAAATTCTTCCCCACATATTCTTCATTGTGGTGTCTTTTTATCCTGACACCTACGAGTGGCTAAGGTGCTAACACAGGAGGCTGCTCTCTATCACAGTGACAAAAGTCTTCTTTCTGCCCCCTCTACCACTTGCGGGCAGTGATTTTCACTTACTCTGTAACTGGACAGACGTGGGTTTTGGTACAGAAACACCTTCTCTGACTGTGCTGAGGGCAGTGCAATAAGGCTGCATGCGCAAATAGAGCTCCGCGTCTCATATGTTGTTATATACGTGCATACATATACACACAGTAAACATTATTAGAAATAATAATAAAATGTAACTTAGCCTTTCTTTTTGTACTCGTTTAAGGCTTTTTCTTCCCAAGCTGTTCTACCAGTATGAGAACACGGGCGTAACTAAACCGGTCCAAGAAATACATCAGTCCAGCCCACCACGCTCCCCTCCTCCTGTGAGAAATACTACACCAGCGTAACCTCTCTGATAGCTAGGCCTTGCTCAACAGGTTCTACCTCTATGCTGCCAAGGAAAGCGCGGCCCCACCGCAGGGATGGCCGGCAGGCGCCTGTTTGCTCAGTGCCAGGCTTCGCTCTCAACAGCTCGACCTCCACGCGCAGTCCTGAGAGTATAAAGGATGACATGAAATTTGATGGCTGGAAGATTCTGGTCCCTTCGAGGCCTTTCCTAAGCAAGCGTCTCCCCGACGCCGGCGGAGGTGCGCAGCCTTGGGGGGGACACGCGCGGCTTTGCCCGGGTCCGAAGCCGTCCCGCCGCTACCCCCGCGGATCCGGCACACGACGCCGCACTGTCC